GCATCCCTCTCTGTTTGAGCCTGGTGTTTGACTAGTTGCAATCGCTAGCTAAGTGAAAGTGAAAAAAACTCAAACTAAATATAGCTAGCTCTCTTTCGTGCTCTCTCTCGCTCATGCTTTAAATAAATAAATAATTTTGTTCAAAACTGTTCAACTATTGTCTTTCTCTCTCTTTGAGCCGACTACTCACCACTTTTAATGGACTGCAGTGCTAGCTAGCTGTAGCTTATGCTTGCAGTACTAGATTAATTATCTGATCCTTTGATTGGGTGGACAACATGTCAGTTCAATAACATATAAGACTCTTGGACCTTGAGGAGTAATGGCAGGCTCCTTAAGAGTACTTCTTAGGCTAGGTGTAGCTAGTGCAAAGCACCAGCAGCAATTTTTCAACAACCTTTACTTGGCATAACTTTCTTCATTCTCGATTCAGAAGAAACTTGTCTCATAAACATTTGTGTGCAGTTGCAGGTGGTACTCCAAAAATCGGAGAACATCTACACACACGCAAGAGGCATTTCTCACTCGATACAAAAAGTGGATTTAATATTTTTCCGAATATTTTCAGTTTTTTGGAGTACCACCTGCAACTGCACACAGATGTTTATGAGACAAGTTTCTTCTGAATCGAGAATGAAGAAAGTTATGCCAAGCAAAGGTTAGTCGAAAATATCCTGATTATGGCTGAACAGCAGCCTATGCAGAGGAGGTTCATGTTTACATGGCTAATATTATGCCATGTTCTCTGCAGTAATGTGTTGGCAAGTAGAGTGAAGTTTGTGTTGACATACAATAGCCTTCAAGCTCTTGGAGTGATATGGTAAGTGACTAATCAACATTTTCTCTGATTGCAAACCAACAATAGAGGCCACAGTAATCTAGGCCAGAAGTTTGGAGGAGGACAACATGGATGTGGATGAGGATAGGCTATTTCTGCTCGGTAAGGAGAAGGACATCTCAAGTAAGTCTATTTATATTAAGTTGGAAGTGAATGTCAGATGAAGCCCAAATAACTTGTGTAACAAACAAACATTTAAATCTACACCAAATGTAAATGTGACGTTTCTAAACCGAGGATTATAACTTTATTGCTCTTAAAACATGAGACACGTTGTACAGACAGAAGAACACAGTGAAGACAAGATTATTGACAAATAAATCAAAAATAAATAAGTGCAAACAAACACAATGGAATAGGCCATGGAACATACAGTGGGGAAAAAAAGTATTTAGTCAGCCACCAATTGTGCAAGTTCTCCCACTTAAAAAGATGAGAGAGGCCTGTAATTTTCATCATAGGTACACGTCAACTATGACAGACAAAATGAGAAAATAGAATCCAGAAAATTACATTGTAGGATTTTTAATGAATTTATTTGCAAATTATGGTGGAAAATAAGTATTTGGTCAATAACAAAAGTTTCTCAATACTTTGTTATATACCCTTTGTTGGCAATGACACAGGTCAAACGTTTTCTGTAAGTCTTCACAAGGTTTTCACACACTGTTGCTGGTATTTTGGCCCATTCCTCCATGCAGATCTCCTCTAGAGCAGTGATGTTTTGGGGCTGTCGCTGGGCAACACGGACTTTCAACTCCCTCCAAAGATTTTCTATGGGGTTGAGATCTGGAGACTGGCTAGGCCACTCCAGGACCTTGAAATGCTTCTTACGAAGCCACTCCTTTGTTGCCCGGGCGGTGTGTTTGGGATCATTGTCATGCTGAAAGACCCAGCCACGTTTCACCTTCAATGCCCTTGCTGATGGAAGGAGGTTTTCACTCAAAATCTCACGATACATGGCCCCATTCATTCTTTCCTTTACACGGATCAGTCGTCCTGGTCCCTTTGCAGAAAAACAACCCCAAAGCATGATGTTTCCACCCCCATGCTTCACAGTAGGTATGGTGTTCTTTGGATGCAACTCAGCATTCTTTGTCCTCCAAACACGACGAGTTGAGTTTTTACCAAAAAGTTATATTTTGGTTTCATCTGACCATATGACATTCTCCCAATCCTCTTCTGGATCATCCAAATGCACTCTAGCAAACTTCAGACGGGCCTGGACATGTACTGGCTTAAGCAGGGGGACACGTCTGGCACTGCAGGATTTGAGTCCCTGGTGGCGTAGTGTGTTACTGATGGTAGGCTTTGTTACTTTGGTCCCAGCTCTCTGCAGGTCATTCACTAGGTCCCCCCGTGTGGTTCTGGGATTTTTGCTCACCGTTCTTGTGATCATTTTGACCCCACGGGGTGAGATCTTGCGTGGAGCCCCAGATCGAGGGAGATTATCAGTGGTCTTGTATGTCTTCCATTTCCTAATAATTGCTCCCACAGTTGATTTCTTCAAACCAAGCTGCTTACCTATTGCAGATTCAGTCTTCCCAGCCTGGTGCAGGTCTACAATTTTGTTTCTGGTGTCCTTTGACAGCTCTTTGGTCTTGGCCATTGTGGAGTTTGGAGTGTGACTGTTTGAGGTTGTGGACAGGTGTCTTTTATACTGATAACAAGTTCAAACAGGTGCCATTAATACAGGTAATGAGTGGAGGACAGAGGAGCCTCTTAAAGAAGAAGTTACAGGTCTGTGAGAGCCAGAAATCTTGCTTGTTTGTAGGTGACCAAATACTTATTTTCCACCATAATTTGCAAATAAATTCATTAAAAATCCTACAATGTGATTTTCTGGATGTATTTTTCTCAATTTGTCTGTCATAGTTGACGTGTACCTATGATGAAAATTACAGGCCTCTCTCATCTTTTTAAGTGGGAGAACTTGCACAATTGGTGGCTGACTAAATACGTTTTTTCCCCCACTGTAGGTCCATTATGTTATGGAACATAGGTCCATTATGTCATGGAACATAGGTCCATTATGTGAATAAAACAGAGACATATTCACAATTTGGCAACAATGCAACTCAACAATGACAACTACACAAAATGTTTGTATATTACCATTATGTCAAACACAAAATGTTTGAAAACATTTCCAGGTGGTCATGAGGAGAGAATGACGTTTGATACTGTAAATATTTTGTTTTTATAAAAATAAACATGTCCCATGCTTTATACTCATTATATACTCTTAAAATATACATTTTTGCTATTAGGTTTCTATGGAACATAACTACTATAAATTATACGGTACAGACATGTTTTCTCTTTTTTTACAAAACAGTGAAAACTTCAGAACCAATCTTCACATCGTCAGTTAGTGGGATAATTTAAAAGGGTTTTCCAGGCTCACAAATATTCCAACCGTTTTACAATATTTACATCTCAAGTGTAGAATAATACAACTCCGCATAAGGAATTTCCATTGTAAAACATTATTGGCATAAGTAGCCTCCTCATATTTTTGTGGGTGTCTTTCTTTCTCACTTCAATAAAACTAGTAGTAACACTGTATCTGCCACCACCATTGGTAACTTGACCGTTTCTTCTTCTTGTAACGCCAAGAAGAAATGAAGAATTGGGGAAACATGCAAGACAGTAGTGCAGTGAAAGAAAACACATGGTACCCTAATGTCAGATTATAACACTTGTGGACAGAGTCTGAATAGTTTCTGTTTCTGTTTCTGTTAGCTATAGGCTGCTTCGATCTCCGTGGTTTGACAACAGGATGAGACCGAAAGACGTTTTCAGACAGAAAACACAGGTGTTAGTTTTATTAAAATACATAAAAAACGACTTTGTGTGTGTGTGATTTCCCAATATTTCCTGTATTGCACAATGGACAACAGCACAGAGAGCAAAAAGTATAAATCCATTGAATTGTTTGTGACACAAAATCCTGTAAAATGATTTTAGAGAAGAATATAGCAACTTGTATCTCTTATAAGATTAAATAGTTTATCAAACTGAAGTTGTATGTGGAGTTTGTTTTCTAGCTCAATGTTCAGTAGACTGAATGTAAACAAAACATGAACTTAGATCATGTGTGAGTAGGAGCAAATGCTGAAGGTTGTGCAAAAGTCTAAGGCAAAGCTTACTAAAGTAGATCTCCCAAGAGGTGAGGTGCCGGTTTAGTGTGGATTGTGATCGTTGTGTGTGAGAGTGAGTGAGAGTGTGTGTACTGTGTGTGTGTCTCAAACCAAGACAGCAATGTGAGGTTGACTACACTTAATACTGCAGAGCGGGGCAGCCTTCTTTTCCTTCATGAAGAACATTCATCCTACCCAGCTGATTGGTTAGCGTTTCTGCTACATTTTCCCCATCTAGGTGTTCCATACCTGTGGTTTAATTCTACAGGTGAGTAAATGGGCCCCATGTCTGTTTTAAAGCAACCCAATTCAAATGTGTGGATTTTACAATCTCGCAGAGGTACAATTTCCAACATTGTGAATGTGATGTATGTGATATTGTTGAGGTGCAGGTCATGACATTTTCCGGATGACCAACAGAACTCATTGTGTGACAACAGTTAGAAATGTAACAAACAAACACGTCAACTACTAACCCAGGCTTTGGACTACTTAATTCACAGAATTCGATACTTTGACGTATTCTGTGGTATTTTTGCCCAGAGCACATTAAAATATCTGAAGATTTATTGTAGATTTATTACTCTTTATATTTTTTATACTCAATATCACTTTATATATTATTTTCATTATTTTGATTCTCCACAATACTTTGCTAAAAAGATACAACTTAAATATACATAGAAAAAGAATGAGAAGGACCTTTGAAATGTGAGAGTTGACATGGAGGAGTGGTTAGCCCTGTTTTTCACCCAGCGTTTCAGAGGTGTAGGTCCTTGCACCTTTTGTAGAGCGGTGCCCAAGTGTATGTGTCTTATGCTAGAACACTACAGGGCCACTCTAGGCTGCAACTGCCACCGCCCCTGTAAATGCATAATGGCGCAGTTGCACTGCGATGGATGGATCATTGCATGTCCTGTAAACAATAAAAAATGAATGGACATTGAGAGTGTGGACCCAGCCACCCACACTCCCAACTGTCATATATGATTATTCACTAACTTCCCCCATCTTTGTCTCTACTGGGTGGGCAGGGTTTTGATTGGGCGAGAGAGGGAGCCCATGTTGGTGTTTGTTGTAGTAACTTGGGGACTCACGCTCTTGTTAGGCAGACTACTGGAGTGGCCCATCGCCTCCTCGGCTGCACGCAACAGCAAAGTGTAATTGATAGCAACCTCTTCAACCTTCCGCAGCAGTTGCAGCCTTTGGGCCTCTGAACGCACCCCTCTAACCAGCTTGATGAAGGTCTGAGTCAGTTCGCAGAGGACCAGGAAGCTGGCCGTAACAACGCTCAGCATGCGCGTGGGGCTCTTCTCGACGCTCGCCACCCGCCTGCACGCCGCCCTGAACTCCTTGAAGCGCATCGCCAGCTCCTGCTTGTACTCGGCGATCCGGGACGGCTGGAGGCGTGATTCGTTATCCACCTGGGGAATGTTAGCGCACTGTCGCAGGATGGCTAGCAGCTCATTAGCATCCAGCTGGGCATTGAGGAAACCGTCTGGCAGGCTGAACGTCTTTCCTTGCAGGGACTGGACCCTCGCCAGGCTCCCCTCCAGAGTCCCGCAGGCCCGGAGGTCGATCTCCTGCAGCTCCTCTTCCTCTTCTTCTTCTTCCTCTACTTCTTCCTCCTCCCCGCTGCATCCCTCAGCGTGGAGGACCTGGAGTGTTTTGCTGACGACGGGCAAGGTCTGAGAGTTCAGCTGCATCCCAGGCAGGACCTGGAGGGGAATGGAATAGGAAAGCTCTTCTTTTTCGCTGCTCTCGTCTGCCGCCTCACATTTCCTGTAGCAGAAACAGAAGGAGCAGCACTTCTCCCTGTCGTCACTGTCTTCACTAGGCAGCCCCAGCAGCATCTCCGTCGGTGCCCCCTCTCTGTTCTCCCGCAGCAGCTCTTCTCCCTGGATGAAGAACACTCCTTTCTTCCCCTTCGCCTCTGCAGCAGCCGTATGAGTTTGAGTTTGATTGTGAACGGGCTCCACGGGCGTTGGAAGCCTCAGTCCTGTGGCCCTCACTCGCTCCATCTCCTTCTCCAGGCTCTTGGCTTTGGGTTTGACCTCGGCGTAAAGCGGCGTGCCTTCAGCGTTGTCCACCTCCCCAATGCTATACCGCCTCTGGAGCTTCTTGTACTGTGGGGCGCCCATGCAGTCTGGTGTGCGGGAGGTGCAGGTGGGCAAGCAGGAAGCCTGCTCCCCCCTGGGTTCCCGCGACTCTAGACTGGTCGAACGGATTCGGGTGGTCTTGATCTCTAAGGTCTGAGGTCTCCTCAGACCTCCCTGTGGGTGAGGGGTTTTGGAGGTTGCTGGAGGAGACTTGGAGAGGGATCTCTCTCTGCCTCTATGCTGCTGTGGCTCTGCAGTTGAGCCGACCGGCGTATCAGGTAGTCGGATGCCTCTGCACATCCTCTTGCAGTCGCAGCTGCGGCGTTGCTCTCGGGAGATGCCGGGGGCTTTTAGCACAGGACTTGTACGGAGCTGGCAAGCACAGGGGGTGCCTGAGGGGACTGGCGAGGACCCCTGGGGTAGGTACTCACTCCTGGATGACTTGGGCTTCAGAAGTTCTTCCAGGAACTCTAACTCGTACTGCCGGACCTTCTGGAGCTGGGCTCGGCGTTCGTCAGTCTCCCGCCGAATCCGAGCTGGGAACGTGGCCGACAGGAGGTTCTTGATACTCAGGAAGGGGGTGCTACGTTGGGCCTTCCCTTTACCACCGCCCTGCTTCTTGCTGTTGGCAGATGGGAGAGTGGAGACCTTGTCCACAGAGCAGGTAGGGTGTGTGGGGTCTCCCAGGAGAGGTATTGTCTTTGGGGGGCATTTCTGTGGCTCAGCTTGAGCTTTACCCTGGGACCTCTCTGCCTTGGCCTCTGCTGCTTCCTTCCTCTCAGCTTTCACAGGTATGTGTGGGGACTGGGAGTACTTGGTTGGGACCTGCGGGCTGGGCTTGGCCAAGACGGGGTCTGCTCCTCCTCCTCCTGCTTCTTTCGCTGCGCTCTCTTTGCTGCTGGCTAGTTGGAGGCCTTTGGCCCGAAGACGCTCATCGTCTGTTGGGGAAGAGGAGTGGAACACCACCACCTTCTGGATCTGTGGATCCTTCAGTCTTAGCTCTGGCCCGGGTTCTCTCACTGGGCATGTGCAGAACAGGTCATCAACTGGCAAGAGGTCTTTAGAGCTTGAAGGCTTGATGGTCTCGCTAGAGGCAGTCTCGGCATCTTGGCACATGTTTGTGGGGCAAATCTTGGCGGAGGCAGTTCTGTCCACAGGCAAGAGAATAGGTAAGGCTTTGTTGGTAGGGTCCGGGCTCGGAGGCGCAGACTTCTTCCCCTTGACCCCCGCAGAGAGATTCGGGCTTAGTTTGCCTACAGCAGAACAGGGTGACCTTTGATCCTTGCCGACCTTGGGTGCCTGCCTTGGATCGGACACTTTCAGCTCCCCAGGCGAATTTGCAGGGTGGTCTGGGGTGCACGCTTTGGTGGGCTCTGGTTTTGCCTTCTTGCCATCACTCGGCTCACACTGCGACGGGTCTTGGGTAACGTTACTCCCCTGCTCCACTGAGCTGAGACCTGGACTGGCAGTCTCCTGACCAGGGCTGAGCTTTAGGGGAACAGTCTTACTGAGGGTCACTGGCTTCGAGGGGCAGCCGCCGCGGATCTGACCCATGGAGAACGGACCGCCCTCTATAGTCTGGGTGGTGCAGCTTGGTATGGCCAAGGGGAAGTCCCTGCGACTGAAGATACGCTCCTTGTTGATATGGTGGGCCAGCAGATAGGCCTGGTTCTGGTGCTGCTTCATGGCCGACACCATCTCTGAGACATCTGTCAGCTCCGAGGAGTTGGTCTCGTGCCCTGAGTCCAGCGATGACTCAGGCGTAATGGCCGCCAACACGATCAAACCTATGGAAAGAAGGAAACACAAGACACAATCAGGGTCACAAGGAAGTCATGCAACATCACAGACAGATGGAAAGCAGTCATTGATTGCTGAAAGATGGCACATCAAATACACTGTTTCTAAGTACTGACTCATCAAAATCCCTTGGTGTTTCTTTTAAAGCTCTGCCAACCGTCTGTGAGTAAAACCTTGTTTTGCATCAAACTTAATTTTTATCAAGACTGAGTGAACTCTTGTGTTTCTCTCGCTATCAAAATATATAACACAAGAGACTATGTTCAGTGTCAAACAGTGTGCTGTAAAACAACACGTCAAAACATAATCAGTCTTTTTGTCTCTGTTTTGGGATGTTAAAGCGTTGAACTTGAATTATACCAGCCTACAATGTGTCGAAAGTGTTCCACAGGGATGCTGGCCCATGTTGACTCCAATGCTTGCCACAGTTGTTCACATGGGAAACTGTTGAGCGTGAAAAACCCAGCAGCATTGCAGTTTTTGACACACTCAAATCGGTGCGCCTGGCACCTTCTACCATACCCCGTTCAAAGGCACTTTTCATGCTCAACAGTTTCCCGTGTGTATCAAGAATGGTCCATCACCCAAAGGACATCTAGCCAACTTGACACAACTGTGGCAAGCATTGGAGTCAACATGGGCCAGCATCCCTGTGGAACGTTTTCGACACCTTGTAGAGTCCATGCCCCGACGACTGAGGGCAAAAGGGGGTGCAACTCAATATTAGGATTGTGTTCCAAATATTTTGTGCACTCAGTGTATAAAAACATTTCAAAGTGCCCTTAGTAGTCAATCTGCCCTAAAATGAACCATTAGTTCTAAAAAGAGCCCTTGGTGGTTAGATTAGACTCTCTATATGAGATGAAGTCCATGTAGCATGACTCAGCATGTTGACCTGTGGTCTGAGCTGGCTGTTGGTGGTGATGGGGGAAGTCCTCTGATGCAGCTAGGGCCTCCAGTGCCTGCAGAGTGGATACCAGAGCATCATCCAGCTCCTGGGCATGGTCCCGTACTGTCCTGGTTGCCACGTTGTCTATCAACGTCACCGGGACATCCTCTGGAGCCAGTACCACTTCCTTGGCAGAAGCCTTGGCAGAGCTCTTGCCGGCAGCAGCCCCGGTTGCAGTGCTTGGACTGGGAGTGGGGTTGGGGTTGGGTTGAGACTTCCGTCCTCTCTTGGAGTCGTCTTCGTCCGAGCTGTTGTCCCTGAACCCAGGCGGAGGGGCAGCAATGGCCGGCGGGAGCGGCTGCAGCTTTCCTCCTACGTCCTCCACCTCTTCTTCCCCCTCTTCGTTCCCCGGGGGAGGCAGGGCCATGAGGTCTACTGCACCTCCGTCGCGGGAGGCACAGGCGCTGGAGCAGTGCTTCGACGAGGCGCCGCTGCTTCCACCGTTCAAGGCCACAACCATTCCCTCTGCCCTCAACCTGGCCTTGCAGGAGTCACAGAAGAACTGTGTAGTTCGCTGGGACTGCCCCATGGTTTGGGCTCTGCTCCTGAAGACCACGGAGCTCTCCTGGACGGGGCTCTCTGGCCTCCTGGCGATCATCTCCGTGCTCTGGAGCATTGGGTCAGACTTGGTACGGGGCCGCTCTGGTGCCTCTTGGGAAATGAAGTTCTCATTGATGTCGAGCTCGGGTTCTGCCTGCATTTGGAGCTCCTGCAGCTGTTGTGGCTCCCGGAGATGGACGTGGCATAGACCCAGGTGTTGGGACTCTGCGAGCAGTGTGGCTGTCGCTGTCTTCTTAGACTGGGACCCTGGGTCCCTCGTATGGGGTCTTTCCCTCTCGTCCCCTCGTCGGTCCCCACTGGACGCCGCTGTGGCGCCGGAGCGCGGGTGGGCGTGGTGGGAACCTCTGTAATCTGAGGACAGAATTGTCAGAGCTGTTGAGAGGCTGAGAGGTGAGGAATCGCATGGGAGGATGGAGTGGGTCCTCATGGGAAAATAGAGGTGAAGGTTGGTGGATTTTTTCAGTGATGGATGCTGGAGATTGGAGTTGGAGGTTTGAGGTAAGTCTGGTGGGATGTTATGGGATGTAGCGGCCTTCCTCTCATGCAGGCACACCACCACAGCAGATGGAAACAGACCTGTGCATGTTTGAATAGTACATGTATATTTGATTAGAGAGAGAAAAGCAAGGCAAAACCCCAAAATGTTACCCTATGCAAGGAAAAGGGAGAGAATAGTCCAATGAAGATGAGATCTCAGGATGGAGATGGGACGAGAGACAGCAGAGGTGATTGGTAGCTGTTGATATGGTTTAGGTCCGGATGCACAGATGCATTATGGAGAAGCAGGTCTCAGTCCAGGTAGATTGAGCAGAGTTGGTTGCAGTATAATGGTTTACATGCAATGCCTCACACTTGCAGACACACACAAAAACCTGTAAATGGAATCCTTGAGATGCAAACTGATATGCAGTCAATGGGGCTTTGGATGCTGAGTTTGGATGCTGAGTTTTATTGTTACAAAATATAGCCAAAGCAAACAGTATGGAAATTATTTTAACCGTAAATGAAAAATATTTTCAGTTTTATCTAAAGCTAATAATAATGGAATCTCTGTAACACCTCCCGAAACACTAGACTTACAGATACACTATATATACGAAAGTATGTGGACACCCCTTCAAATGAATGGATTCGGCTATTAAAATCGAGCACACAGCCATGCAATCTCCATAGACAAACATTGGCAGTGGAATGGCCTTACCAACAAGTCAGTTCGTCAAATTTCTGCCCTGCTAGAGCTGCCCCGGTTAACTGTAAGTGCTGTTATTGTGATGTGGAAACATCTAGGAGCAACAACGGCTCAGCCGCGAAGTGGTAGGCCATACAAGCTCACAGAACGGGACCGCAGAGTGCTGAATTGCGTAGCGCGTCTGTCCTCGGTTGCAAAACTCACTACCGAGTTCCAAACTGCCTCTGGAAGGAACGTCAGCACAAGAACTGTTCGTCGGGAGCTTAATGAAATTGATTTTCATGGCCAAGCAGCCGCACACAAGCCTAAGATCACCATGCGCAATACCAAGCGTCAGCTGGAGTGGTGTAAAGCTCGCCCCCATTGGACTCTGGAGCAGTGGAAACGTGTTTTCTGGAGTGATGAATCACGCTTCACCGTCTGGCAGTCCAACCGACGAATCTGGGTTTGGCGGTGCCAGGAGAACGCTACCTGCCCTAATGCATAGTGCCAACTCTAAAGTTTGGTGGAGGAGGAATAATGGTCTGGGGCTGTTTTTCATGGTTTGTGCTAGGCAGTGAAGGGAAATCTTAAAGCTACAGCATACAATGACATTCTAGACGATTCTGTGCTTCCAACTTTGGGGCAACAGTTTGGGGAAGGCCCTTTCCTGTTTCAGCATGACAATGCCCCCATGCACAAAGCGAGGTCCATACAGAAATGGTTTGTCAAGATCGGTGTGGAAGAACTTGACTGGCCTGAACAGAGCCCTGACATCAACCCCATCGAACACCTTTGGGATGAGTTAGAATGCTGACTGCGAGCCAGGCCTAATCGCCCAACATCAATGCCCGACCTCACTAATGCTCTTGTGGCTGAATGGAAGCAAGTCCCCGCAGCAATGTTCCAACATCTAGTGGAAAGCCTTCCCAGAAGAGTGGAGGCTGTTATAGCAGCAAAGGTGGGACAAACTCCATATTAATGCCCATGATTTTGGAATTAGATGTTCGACGAGCAGGTGTCCACATACTTTTGGTCATGTAGTGTACATTTCTTAAACATCAACAGATATTGTGAATATGCAGTTTCATTGCAAGTCCTAATAAATCAAGGAAGTGACTACTAACATACCTGCCTTGATCATATAAGACTGACCAGGTGTCCTGTAGTAGATGGTCCGTTTGGGATCCACGAACAGCTTATAGTAGCCGGAGGTGAGGCAGGCGAAGTTACTGGCATCAGGCCACTCCATCAACAGGACCAGAGGCTGCAGGGGGGGAAGTGGATAATTAAGATTTTGATTAAGATTCCGTTATTGTCCAATTGTACACAAGGTCCAACGGAAATGTGTCTTCTGCTTTATTCAATGATGTATATATTGGCTTTATCCCAGCCCCTCCGAAACACACACATTCATACACAGAGGTTGGAGAGGTTGGAGCAGGGATGGAGAGAAATTAGGAGATTTCAACAAAGCATTTGACTGTATATTTAATGTAATCACCATTTCAACTTGGTTTATGTTGCAGGTTTGATTTAATAAAATTTAATTTGAAAGGAATTCTTCTGTGCAGCAAAAATCAATGTTAGGTAGCATGTCCTACTAGTATGGTGCAATGATTTCTGGCAAAACAAACAAATCTCATTCTATTGAGTTCCACCCTGAGCTTCATAATGTCCTTCTAAATCTATAGTTGTATATGTGTTCAGTCTGTCATATACCTTGGCCTCATGTATGGCCACCTCTACGCGGGCAACGCCCTGGTTCTCCCGGTGTAGCTGTATCTTAGCAACGCGACTGAACTCTGTCAGAACCGTGGTCAGGTTGTTCTTCAGGTCGATCACGTGACCGATGCCGTGCCGTGGACCCACCAGCAGCGTAGTGGCCGACTGCTTCTCATCCTGTGGATCAACCATTCAGTCAGTAAATCAATCAATCAATCAACACAGAGAGAGCTCTTAATTCATGGAATAGCATTTATAGAACTTAACTCAGAAACATGCATTCTTTAAAAGTGGCCATTGAAGTGGGTTGATTATATGTTGTATATATACACATGTACACTACCGGTCAAACGTTTTAGAACACCTACTCATTCAAGGGTTTTTCTTTATTTTTACTATTTTCTACATTGTAACTACATCAAAATTATGAAATAACGCATATGGAATCATGTAGTAACCAAAAAAGTGTTAAACAAATCAAAATATATTTTATATTTGAGATTCTTCAAATAGCCACCCTTTGCCTTGATGACAGCTATGCACACTCTTGGCATTCGCTCAACCAGCTTAATGAGGTAGTCACCTGGAATGCATTTCAATTAACAGGAGTGCCTTGTTAAAAGTTAATTTGTGGTATTTCTTTCGTTCTTAATGCGTTTGAGCCAATCAGTTGTGTTGTGACAAGGTAGGGGTGGTATACAGAAGATAGCCCTATTTGGGAAAATAAGTCCATATTATGGCAAGAACCACTCAAATAAGCAAAGAGAAATGACAGTCCATCATCACTTTAAGACATGAAGGTCAGTCAATCCGGAAAATGTCAAGAACTTTGAAAGTTTCTTCAAGTGCAGTCACAAAAACCATCAAGCAGTATGATGAATCTCGCTCTCATGAGGACCGCCACAGGAATGGAAGACCCAGAGTTACCTCTGCTGCAGAGGATAAGTTCATTAGAGTTAACTGCACCTCAGATTGCAGCCCAAATAAATGCTTCACAGAGTTCAAGTAACAGACTGCAGAGGATAGGTTCATGAAGCATGGAGGAGGAGGTGTTATGGTGTGGGGGTGCTTTGCTGGTGACACTGTCTGTGATTTATTTAGAATTCAAGGCACACTTAACCAGCATGGCCACCACAGCATTCTGCAGCAATACGCCATCCCATCTGCTTTGGGCTTAGTGGGACTATCATTTTTTTTTCAACAGGACAATGACCCAACACACCTCCAGGCTGGAGGAGAGTGATGGAGTGCTGCATCAGATGACCTGGCCTCCACAATCCCTGTCATGGTTTCGGCCGAGGCTGCTCCTCCTCCTGGTTCGGGCAGGCTTCGGCGGTCGTCGTCCCCGGAGTACTAGCTGCCACCGATCTATGTTTCATGTTCGATTGGTTTTGTCTGGATGTTGTACACCTGTGTCTTGTTAGTCCTCGTTAGTGCCCTATTTAGTTCTCGTTGTGTGTGCTTGTCGTTGTGTGTGATTGTACTACTGTTTCGTGTTTTGGAGCTACATTTTCCCTCCAGTGTTTGAGAGGGTTGTTTGCACATGTTTGTGCGTCATTCGTTTTGTCGCCTGTGTGCGTCGTGCATTTTGCCTTCGGGCTTATTTTGCTTCGGTTGGATATATATTTATTGCACTAAAACCTTTGGACTGAGCCTCTGTGTCCTGCGCATGATTCCTACACCACACCCACCTTCAGCACGCCTTGACAGAATCACACACCATTATAATGGAATCAGCAGGATCGGCAGTGACGCCTGTGTCGCTCGAGGAGCATCTCCGTGGGCAAGAGGACCAGATCCGACACCTGGAGACCGCTCTACAGGAGGTAATCAACATCATGCACCGATGGGAGGCCAGCAGTGTACCCACACCTCCACCTACCCTGTCCATCCCATCGGTCGGTCCACCAGTCCCAGGTTCGGAACCCAGGGGGATTCGGCACTCGCTCCCGAGGGCGTATGACGGAACAGCTGCCGGGTGTCAGGGGTTCCTCCTGCAGGTAGAGCTCTACCTGGCCACTGTACACCCGGGGCCCTCGGGATC